CCCGCGAGCCATGGCCGCTGAGCCTGCGCGTCCGGAGCCTGTGCTCCGCAATGGGAGAGGCCACAACAGTGAGAGGGCCGCGTACTGAAAAAAAAAAAAAAAAAAAACCTTCAAATGCTCATAGGGTCAGGGAGTAACCAGTATTTTAAAAAAGGAGAGAACCCTCAATAAAATAAATGGTTTAAGTCAAAGCTGTATGTTTACAAATAGACAAAACAGCCAAGGTAAATATTAAATATGCAATTTTAATATTGTACCAACTACTTTACTTTTCAAAGTAGGCTTCTCTTCTCTTCCGTAGCTCTTCTGAAGTAAGATGTGTACCTGACGTCTGTGGAATATCTTGACATATATTTCTGGAAGTACCTGAAAACAAAATAAAACAGAACAAAAAACTATTTTATTTACCAATTCAAGCAATAATATGTTTATACTTATGTGAAGGAACTTTTGAAAAATTTTCTTCTCAAAAATATTCTGTACCATTCTGTAAATGTAAGAGAGGCTCTGAAAGTCTCAGGGAGAATCTGAATAAGGCAGTTCAAATCTAACCTGTGTCCACTGCAGCCAAAGCTGTTACACATCTGTGATGTAGTGGATGTGAGGAGGTAAGCCCAACGACCAACTTGGTAGGAGAAATAATTAACGCCACACTTGCGTGCTCTCTTATTAGAAATGAATCTGCACTTTCAAAGGCATAGAATTCCTAGAAGCAACTCAAAGTGGACGATCATAAAACAAACCCATTCTCTGTATCCCTCTATCCTCAAACATTTGGGTACTACAAGAACTTAAGTGTGTTTCCATGTTCTTACTTCATTATTGCACCAATCAGAGATTCTGCACAAACTGTGAAATAAAGTGGAAAGAAAAGTAAAGTACACAGAAATATCTAAAACTATTAAAGCTGGTGTCTGTCCATTACTGGGCTAATCTAGCAAGGCTCTACTAATCCAAAATGGGCCTGCACACCATATGGACTACTCATGAGCCTCCTGGCACACCTGTGAATTCCTTATTTAGATATTTAAGGAATTCAATTGACAAGTAATTTCATTAGAAAGTAGAAGGCAAATTCACGTTAATTAGACAAAAACAAAACTACCAAAAAAAAGAAAGAAAAGAAAACTCCTCACACTTTTAAGTAAGCTCCTTTGAACAACATCCCAAACAACTCCCTCAGCTTGGATTCCCTGAGGGATGCATCTTTACTCTCAGCTAATGGGCTTAGATCATTAAAAAAGTGGGCTCACCAAAGTGGGCTTAAGCTGTAAGCTGCACAGCCACTAAGTGTTAGAGTTTTGTAAAATCAATTTGCTTTCTCTGTCCAGGCCTTCCTTCATGTCCACTAGCATACATTTTTAGAACAGTTGGTCTGGGTAAGGGCCCACTGACCTCACAGTGATTAACCTCAGTTTGCTATTGTGTTAGCACAGTATTATAACCAAGTGGAATAACCAGAAATAAAAATAAAACTAGTCCTAATATAATACAAGCTGTAAAAAGTTGTTTTAAAAGAAATCGAAAAGACAATAACTGATTGTACATAGCTATTGCTTCTGCAGTGATTGTCCAAGAACTTCTACCAATAGCACATTAACATCCAGAAGAAACAAGAATGATCTGAATGAATTCTTCAACAATGAATAAAGTATGTGTCGGAATGTCCATACCTTGCATGCTGAGCTGAATGGCCCTGCGGAGATCTGCTTCTTCATCTTCCAAGTCAATTTCTTGGCGACTTAGTGCCAGAGCCCTCTGCAAATCCTCCTCATCTTCGTCTAACATTCCTGATCCATCGTTTGCTTCTAAGACGCGTTCTAGATCTGTTTTCTGGACTCTAAAGAATAAAAGCACTAAAAATCACTGCAGACCACTCTTCTATTTTAGATATAACATAGAGACATTTATAAACCAAAGATTTTTATGTAAGTCAAAACTTACACATTTTCTGGCAGACAAGGTCTAATAATATAAAGGTTTTATTGTGATGTGAATCTAAGTTAGTATATTTAAATAATTCAGAGTTGATCCATGGTTAAACCAATAAACTTCACTAAAACATAAAGGTCTAAAAAAAATCACCAATAATAAAAGGACCACATCTTCAGTGTAGGCATGAAAATTGAATTTTTGTAATGAAATACTATCATATATTCCATACTGCAAGCTCAGTTTTACCTCTGTTCTTTGAGTTGTGCTAATTCTTCTCCAATAAGTTTTGGTCGATGCATCTGTTGGACCCTGATCATCTGTAGGAGTTGGTCAGCTTCACAGTCTGGCAGATCACCCTTAACAACAAATATAGAATAACCTAAAAAAAAAAAGGCAAAAATAAACTAAAACAGTCAGCAAGTGATTCAAAATTGATTAAAAATGACAGCAGATAGAGAGGCAGCCCAGAACAGTGGAGTGAGGACACAGACTGAGCAGTCAGGAGTACCTGGGTTCAAATAATGATTCTTACGCTTACTAGTGGGGTGATCTAGAACAAATTACTTAGTCTCTGAACCTTGCTTTCTTCACTTGTAAAATGGGAAGAGCCATCTCACAGAGTGACTCTGAGAAGTAATCGAATCTGTAAAGGGATCTACGAAAACAGTGCCTGAACAAGTAGGTTACACTAAATGATACCAGAGAGGCAAGGAAAGGAATAAGGAAGAGCAAGGAATCTGGAATCAGATGACCTGGGTTTTAATCCCCTATCTCTTCTATTTCCTAGCTGCCTGGCCTCTGGTAAACCCCTTTACCCATCTAGGTCTTGGTTTCTTCAACTGCTACATAGATTATACTGTACCTTCCTCGGAGGGCTATTTGAGGGCACAATCAGAGGATGTGTGTAATAATGTGTAATATGGGTAAAATGAGTCATCTGTGGAAATAGCTGCCCCTGACCCTGACACTGACACACTGACACATACACATCCCTCCAAACTGTAGTCAAGGTGCTGAAGATGCAGTTCATGTTTTGAAAAAATTACACTGGTCCAGTGTAATTTTTTATAAATACGATTCTAGAAAGCCAGGGTTTTCCCAGCTGGATACGCCACACAATAGCTAAATAAGGGTGGGCTACACCTAAGTCACTCTAATCAGTTTACGTTTTTATTCATTTCTTATTTTTGGCTGCACCACGTGGCACGTGGGATCTTAGTTCCCCGAACAGGGATCGAACCTGTGGCCCTGCATTGGAAGTGCAGAGTCCTAACCACTGGACCTCCAGGGAAGTCCCTCAATTTACACTTTTCTACCATAAATTTTCTTCAACTTTGGTGCTTGTTATGGATATTCTTTGTGAACAGTAACAGATAATGAAACAAATGAATGAAGATGAAAAGGACTGTTAATGGAAAAACTCAAAAGAGTAAATCATAATACACTTAACATTTGTTTTTCACAAGGACAAGTGTGCTCAGAGTTCAGATGGTTTAACATGTTTTACACCAATAAAATTGTTTCTAGATTCTAGAATAAACTATGTCAGCTCGCAATGCTATTCCATGAAGAGTATCAGGAAGCGCAGAAACTGCCTTATGGAGGTGGCACTGTAGGATCTTGGGTTTCATTCAAGATTAGATTTCATTCTAAGTGTGCTAGGAAGCCACTGAAGGGTTGACGAATGAAGGTGTGCCATAATGTGAATTACATTTTAAAAAGAGCACTCTAGGCTGCTTTATCAACAGAATATTGCAAGAAGAGTGGGTCTTACTAAAATGGAAAACCTGAGGGATAGCATATATGGGGAGAAAAAAACAATACGTCTTTTGTAGACGTGTTCAGTTTAAAATGCTTTCTGGACTTCTGAGTAGAGATGTTAAAGTCAGGAGTTTGGAGTTCAGTGTAGATGTCTAGGCAGAAGATAAAAGTCTAAGGAATTATTGGCAGATAGACTTTATTTATAGATGATATTTAAAATAATGGGAGAGCAGTCAAGAAGTTGTCCAAAGACTGAACTCTGGGTCACTTCATTAGTTAGAGATTGAAAAGAGTAAGATCCAAAAAAGGAATCTGAAAGAAGCAGCCAATGATAGCAGGTAAACCTCCATAGAGGCTTGGAAGCCTTGTGTAGACAGTATTTCAAGAAGGGAGGATATAGCTAGGAACAAAGGTTTTAGGCATAAAAGAAAAGGGATACAAGTATATAAAATCAAAGAAGTTACAACACTATGATCCTACATGTAAACTGGAGAGAGGTACATGACAACCAACCTGGTAGCAATAAGCATGCCAGTGCCCAGACTGTGATCTCTAACCACCATTACTAAAAGGGCAGGAAATATACAAATAAGACTGAAAGTTCTTATTATATGAGAAAGAAGGGCTTCAAAAGGCTAGAGTGGTCATTTCAGAAGCTTGGGAGTCAAGTTCAAAAGGTTCCCACTCATCCAAGATGGGACAATTTTGAGTATCAACATGAATAATAATTACAATGGACTAAACCATATGAACTATGGTTTTAATGGATTTGTTTACACTGACACTTCAGAAACAAACCAATTACCTTTGGAGGAAGGATACTATGAAACCGACTCATTTAAAAAACTGATAAAAGAAATATTTATTCTGCTTTTTCTATATGAACTATACTTCAGGATAACCAAACAGTCGATGAGGGAAAGTTTATTTGTATAGAAGTCCTCCAACTAATAAATGAAGGAATGACAGGAATCTGATATCACCATTTTGCAGTCTTCAATGAAATAATGGACTAGGCATTGATCATCAATAGCTACCCAAATCACAAAAAGAGAGATAACTAGATACCACCATCTGTAAAGAGAATTCTGTCCTCCCCAAATCAACCGGAATCTGATCAAACCTCTAGATATAAGGACCAGTCTATTGGGCATCCAGGGCTCAGAGGAAAAAAAGGATGCAACCAGCAAAATCTAGAACGTGGGAAAGAGAACAAAAGATCCATTTTCTTCAAAAGAATAAATCAAGGGAAAAAATTAAGAGAAGAAACCTATAGATATATTTTAGAGACACAGCAATCCAATGGAATCAACCTTATTTCAACCTGCTTCAACTGTAAAAGAAAAACAAAAAAAAACCCAGAAGAATCAACCAAGGAGATTGGAGATTTGAACACTGGCTGGCTAGTTGATGTTATTAGTTGATGTTATTACAGAATTGTAATTAAATTTTTATGTGTCATTATAGTATTGTGACTATATATATTTTTTAAAGAGTCCTTGTTTTTTAAATATTTTAATGAAAAAGACACCTACAAAGAACATAATAAGACAATTAGTATTTTCTCAAAATAAACTGTAAAAGGAAGTGGCTAGGGTAAAGGTAAAACAAGACTGGCCATGAGATATTTGTTGAGGCTGGGAGAAGGGTACATGAGGATCCATCACATTATTTTTCATACTTTATACTTGTTTGAAATTCTTGGTAAGAAAGTTTTGTTTTGTTCTGTTTAAAGGAGGATATAATCAACTATACGCTCAAAAAAGATGAGGTCAAAGAAAGACTGAGAATTGAATACTGGCAGTGGCAAATGTGGAGGTCACTGGTGACACTGAGAAGAGGGTTTTCAGTGACACATTGGTTATGTATGACAGTGTAACTGGAATGAGTTCATGAATAGGAGACAACACCCTAGAGATGATTCTAAGGAGAAAATAAAAATGGGAGACAGCTGGAGTTTCCTGGTGTTAAAGATGCTTTTTCTTTTTACTCAATGGAGAGAAAAAGTGTATTTCTCTACTGATAGAAATAATACAGAAAATAGGGGGAAACTAATCACACAGGAGAGTGGAGTGACAAAAGCAGAGGCAAAGATCCTGAGTAGGTGGGAGGAGCTGGGATCTAGCCCCAAAGTGGAGAGGTTGGTCTTGGTTAGGAACAGGGGACAATTCATCTATTTTAATAGGCTCAAAGCACAGGCAAAGATAGAAACAAGGTGATAGACTGCTGGTAGAAAAATAAGGACGTTATCTTTTAGTTGCTCCTGTTTTCGTAGTAGAATATAAAGGAAGCCCATAAGCTAGGAGTCAGGAAGGGGGAGGGGAGTGGTTAGTGTTTGAAGGCAGAAGTTGTGAAATCATCACCTTGGACAGTGGTAAGTGAACTAACAGAACATAGTAGGGATGTCAAGCAGCACTAAAGGCTCATTTGAAATTTGTGATCATATAAAAATTAAAAAAAAAATTTGTGATTATAAATTTAAAGCAAAATAAATCATATTTTATCTTTAGCCGTGTTCAGCTGTTCTGATGGAGGACTGCACAAGCCCAAGATTGGGTTTTAACCAGGGTTGGGATTTTGTCATAAAAGTATGATGGAGGGGGCTTCCCTGGTGGCGCAATGGTTCAGAGTCCGCCTGCCGATGCAGGGGACGCGGGTTCGTGCCCCGGTCCGGCAGGATCCCACATGCCGCGGAGCGGCTGGGCCCGTGAGCTATGGCCGCTGGGCCTGCGCGTCCGGAACCTGTGCTCCGCAACGGGAGAGGCCACAACAGTGAGAGGCCTGCGTACTGCAAAAAAAAAAAGTATGATGGAGGGAGAGAAGGACAAAGGAGTTGAGAAATGCAACAGAATTATTATAATGATGGATTACTGGAAATAAGCAGCGTAATACAGGCTTTTAGTATGTAAGGGGAATGTTTAGGTTTGTAGAAGGGTTTAAAGAATTGTTGGAAATTAAAAAAAACGAAAATATGGTATAAACATAGGAGGCAATAGTCAAAGAGTAGGATGCTTATAACTGGGATTTGAAGGTGGTACAGCTGTTAGTAATGGCAGGGCAAGAGTGAAGAAAATGATCTTTGAAAGTAAGAAGAGGTTGAATTGGATTGATTTTTGATGTTGAAATCACCAAGAATGATGAAAGGAGTTGAAGTAGAGAGATGACAGTGAGTCAGATCCTAAAATCTTCAGTGGAAAAGGAGGAAGATCAGAGTGCAAAAGACTACAAAAGAGCATGGGGTAGAGTTTAATCTCGTGACGTGTATTTCAAAGCACCTGGAGTTTCTAGGGAAGAAGAGTGGCCGAGAAGGGGCAAAGAGGAGCAAGAAGAATACCTGCACCTCCCCTTGGCTCTGTGCTATGTGGGGTACGGAAGACAAAAGAACCATTACTGTAGAAGGGCTGCAAAGGAATCAGCATCCCCAGGGGAGGGCCAAGTGTCAGCAAGAACGCTAAATGAGCAGTTATCATCCAAATCACCGCCTACAGCTCACCACGTAAAACATAAAAATTATATCTCTGCCACTGCCACGAAAACAATATTGTTACACTCACTCTTTTTTTTTAACTTTTTAAAAAAATTAATTAATTTATTTATGTTTGGCTGTGCTGGGTCTTCATTGCTGCACCGGGCTTTCTCTAGTTGCGGTGAGCGGGGGCTACTCTTCACTGCGGTGCGCGGACTTCTCACTGCGGTGGCTTCTCTTGTTGCGGAGCACGGGCTCTAGGCACACGGGCTTCAGTAGTTGTGGCTCGCAGGCTCTAGAGCGCAAGCTCAGTAGTTGTGGCGCACAGGCTTAGCTGCTCCATGGTGTGTGGGATCTTCCTGCACCAGGTCTCGAACCCGTGTCCCCTGCATTGGCAGGCAGATTCTTAACCACTGCACCACCAGGGAAGCCCCTTGTTACACTCACTTCTAAGGAGATAGTTTTATTTGGCTACTTCAAACGGTAGCATAAAATGTTCAGTCTTTACTTACCTTCCTGTTGTAACTGAGCCAAGAAAAGTGCAAGGTATGTGTCTGATATTAATTCTGGACCCGTCAAGAGAGAATTCAAGTTGAACCACTGGAAAAAAAATTGTCAATATTTAAGTTAGTGCACATTGTAAGTAATAAGGAAGTGTCACATGTTAAGGATAGATATAACCCATCTCAACTTAGTAAGACTGTCTAAAGACTGAAAACATGTCAAATCAAGATTTTTTTAAAGTAATTAAATAATGTGATTCTAAAAAACTGAAATAGAATGTTGCAAATTTATCACTATTAAATGTTTTAAAAGTTTGCTTTAAGCCATAAGCTTTAAATCCCTCCTCCAAAAAAGAAAAGAAACTGATAGCCAGTATTTTAAAGTATCTTTACTGATAGCGACAATTAAATCTTTTTTCAGAGGAACAGCCCAACAAAATCCTCATCTAATCAAATTATATTGATGGTGGAAGAAAAAGGAAAACTACCCAGTTTTCCCACTGCTGATAGTCTTGGTCAAAATAGTTCAATTGAGAGAAAGCCAGACATTCCAGGAAGAGAATTTATAATTGCCAACTCATTTTAAAAAGTTCACTAAGCCACTACTGCATGTAATTAACATCATTTGGTCTCTACTTCATGGGTGTCCTAGTTTAACCCACAAGATACAAAAGTTTCAGAAGTTACTGTCGGCAACATGACCAACTACTTTTCCTGGATATTCACAGAGATAATATTTTTCTCAGTCATCTTTTTCTTTATACAGGGACCTCAGACAAGACTCTATAGGGAAAAGTACAATTTTAAACAAAAATACAAATTAGAACCAAAGATGATAAGCCATACTTTGACATTTCCTGTATTTGTCAAAGATAATTTGAAATGTGTAAATTCAGTTTCGAAGAAATAAAATTTTAAAAGTATCTCAAAATAGGGGACTTCCCTGGTGGTCCAGTGGGTAAGACTCTGCGCTCCCAATGCAGGGGGCCCGGGTTCGATCCCTGGTTAGGGAACTAGATCCCACATGCATGCCGCAACTAAGAAGCCTGCATGCCGCAACTAAAGATCCCAAATGCTGCAACAAAGATCCCGAGTGCCGCAAAGAAGACCTGGCACAGCCAAAGTAAATAAAGAAATACAAAAAAAAATTTTTTTTCCTCAAAATAATAATGTAAGTTTACATGCAAATCAATACAAAGGAATTTCTAGAATTTAAGTCTTCAGATCTTGAAAGTGAAGAATACTTGATCATATTTTTAAAGATCTAAATAAAACCCAGAGGTTAAATAACCTTGACAGTTGTCCTGCCCTGGTTTTTCCCAGAGTTGATTCCCACCTGGGTCAGTCTTTCCTGCATCACACCACACCTCCTTACTTGCTCTTTGCCCCGCCAGGAGGGACCTTAAGAAATAATCAGTTATGATGAAGCTGCTTCTAGGCAGCAGACTTAAAAGATAATAGCACGGCTTTTGTTTTTGAATTATCTTGTATTGATTTAATTCAACTTTCTTGATTTCATTTCCTTTTTTGTTTTATATTAGTTGGTTTTTAAAACAGCTTTATTAAGGTATGATTGACATGCAGTGAACTGGCCATATTTAAAGTATACAATTTGAAAAGTTTTAACATATGTATATACCCATGAAGCCATCACCACAACCAAGATTGAACATATTCGTCACTGCCAACTTTCCTGTGCCCCTTGTAATCCTCCTCTTTCACTGCCCTTTGCCCTCCTCATCCCCAGGCAACCACTAGTCAATCTGCTTTCTGTCACTATAGATTAGTTTGCATTTTCTACACTTTTATATAAATGGAACAATACGGTATGTAGTATTTTGTGTCTAGGTTCTTTCACTCAGCATAATTATTTTGAGATTCATCCATGTTGTTACATGTATCAATAATTCATTCCTTTTTACTACATTAGCCTGTTTTCAATAATCCTCTTTCTGGACTTCCCTGGTGGCACAGTGGTTAAGAATCCCCCTGCCAATGCAGGGGACACGGGTTTGAGCCCTGGTCCGGGAAGATTCCACATGCCGCGGAGCAACTAAGCCCATGTGCCACAACTACTGAGCCTGCGCTCTAGAGCCCACAAGCCACAACTACTGAGCCCACGTGCCACAACTATGGAGCCTGCGTGTCTAGAACCCATGCTCTGCAACAAAGAGAAGCCACTGCAATGAGAAGCCCGCGCACCGCAATGAAAAGTAGCCCCCACTCGCTGCAACTAGAGAAAGGCCATGCACAGCAACGAAGACCCAATGCAGCCATAAATAAATAAATAAATAAACAAATAAATAAATAATGCCAAAAATAATAATCTTCTTTCAAAGAGTCACAATTCTAAGAAAAAGGACTTTAACTCTGTTTCAAAAATGGTATAGTGTATACAAAGATCACTGGCAATTATTTTAAAAAATAACACTTTAGGTACTTTTCTTGATCTTATAAAAAGCCTTGCTCAACACACATTCCATGTCCTTTTTTTTAGAAAAAATAGAAATGATTTATGCAGATACATATATTACATGGCATTTTGGAATGTGAATAACCTTGTTAAGCAAAAGCAAACATGACTGGAAATTTTTATTCATGCTAGACACTATTTCAGGCTTTGTGACATTGCTGTGCTTAATACAAACCCATGAAAATAGTAGTTAACTGACAGAGCATCTTTACACATAAAAACTCATAAACATATTAAAAGTAACCACGGCTGTATTATCTTATTAAATAGAGACTTTTACTTATGTCCTCTCTCTCTCTGTTGAAACCAGGCCACATATACACATTACTGGTGAGTTTCATTTGCAACTGAAGTGAAAGGGACAGGCGCCTTAAAGACAAGGCACAAATCCCTTACACTTCAGTTGCAAATAAGCTACAGAATGAGGAAAAAGACAGGGGAAGAGGGGAAGCATTACCTGTTTTCCTAATTTTCTAACTGTAAACCAGTGCTCTTTATAATTGCATATAAATGATCTTTCATTTCTAGAAACAGGAAAAAAAAAACATACATAATATTAAGTTGAAATACTAGAGTTCATATTCATTTAGTTTGTCTATTGGAAAGTATTACACAAAACCTATGATGATTTAGGATTATATTCACAGTTTTAAGTATTACTGATTTTTTAAAAATTACAAAACAGTATGAATCTCTGTGTAGATAAGTGATGCCATGCAAAAACGATGGCACCACACCCCATTCAAGGATCAACTCTGCACTGCCAGACACTGCGGGGTCAGGAAGGCTCAGTGGACAAATGTTCGCAGACAGCCGCGAAAGGTGAACTAGGAAAACCTGAGGGATTGAAACGGGGAATATCAAAACAAAAGCATGCAAGATGTATTTTTCTCCTTTAAGAAAGTATAAATTTAAAAATCAAATGTAGGAAAAGCAAAATAAAATCTTACATGGGATCGATCCTGAGCCTCTGATACTCTGGACTGTTAAACAGGATTAGTTCTAAACCCCAAACTTTCAAGGCATTGCTTATAACCTGTTATAAAAAAATAGCAACTTTTAAAAATTCCAAATTTAAGTAGTGTAGCCATGTTAGTTGTATACACAATTGTAGTTCATATATAAATTTCCCCAGAAGGTTATGGTTTTTAAAGTGTGTGTGTGTGTGTGTGTGTGTCTAGATATATCACTAAGTCCATAAATAATATACAAACGTAACATTAAAAGAGTACTTTTTATACTAAGTTTCTGGAATGTTCCAGAGAACCACACAATTCCTAGATAAAACTGCCTCAAAAATCCAGATGTATTTTCTATCCAGTAAGTGCTACTCTTGAAACTAGTCCACTGCAAACATGTGATAATCTGGCTGCTATGGGTCCTGCTTTAGAAAACTGATAGTCAACTCACTACCTGATATGTAATAATGATAATTTTATGTCTATTAAAATGAGTTATTTCTGGGGATTTAAACTGAAGCTTTCATAAATTTTAAACTTCTATTATCATGAGTTTGTGATTTGTAGGAAAAAAACAAAAGATAAACCTGATTATTTCAAACTGAGAAAAAAAAGGGAAATTTCTGAAAATTCACTACCTACCCTCCAAGGGAGCCAACAAAGCAGCAAGTGAACCAGGCACGAATACAGACAAAAAGTGAATGCTCTGAGGTGGGCACATGTGAACTGGCACTAAGAGCAGCGCTGCAGGGACTTGCCTGGTGGTCCAGTGGTTAAGAATCCACGCTTCCACTGCAGGGGATGCGGGTTCCATCCCTGGTTGGGGAAGTATAATAAGATCCCGCATGTCACGGCCACGTGGTACAGCCCAAAACAAAAAGAGCAGCATTGCACAAACAGGAAATGGCAAGCACTGGGCCTGCTCAGGCCTCTGCTCCAAGCCGTGCAGTAGCTGTCACCTGTAACGGTCCACAATAAAGCACTGGCTGGAAACGCTGGTGACTGAGGAGTCCAGGAGGACAGTACAGCAGAACACAAGCAGAGATATCTGCAGAAAAAGTTCCCCCAAGAGAAGTTCTAAAGAACTCTGGATATGCCTCACAGGTGTTAGAAATGGAATGAAAGATCCACGGATGAAAGACTCAATCTCAAGTACATATATATTTACCCACAGAATTCAAGGGGAGTGATAAGGTTTAAAAAAGGAAAAAGGCAAAAGCCACACACCATAATGAAGGAATCCAATCCTAGTAGGCTGATTTAAATGGAAGGTAGCAAAGTGTTGTATTTTCTCAAATTTACACAGGAGATGGTAAGTTTGAAATACTGCGACTTACTGGAATTACGGTTATTAGCATCCAGATGCAAATTAACAACCTCCTTTGAAAAAGCCCTGCTCTAAGATGAAGATTCTATCATCCTAATTTTCATGTTTATCTGTATAAAAATCTAGTACTCTGGTATAGAATCTTATACTCTTAGACACAATCTACTGGAGGAACTTCTGAAGGTCACATCATTACAGTGACTATGAAAGACTGTGAAAAGCATACCCTGAGCTTAAACAGTGCCTGGGACATAAACAACACTTAGCAGATGCCTGTGACTACTTACTTGAATAGAGAAAAAGCCACTGTCATCCATATTTCCAGAAGGCTGCTGTTTAATTTGGATAGGTAGTTGGGACAGGGGTTGAGGGTGGGAAGAGAAGGGTAGTGTCATTAGTGTGCATATTTAAAGTAACATCTTGTGCATTCCCATCTACAAAGTCGAGAGCCGATTTATAATTAACAAGTCAGATCCCCATAGGAAGAGTGGTTCATCCTTTTCTAAACAGCACCCACATTTCTTTAAGAAGTGTGATTTAGTGAGTTTAAAATCAGTACCTGCAAAAATGTGCGATAGTCTTCACTAGTAACTCCTCCTTCTGCCATTCTCATCCTCTCTTCCTCATCTAGCTGGTGTGCAATTGAAGATAATTCCACAGGGCTGAAGTATTCTCCTTGTAACAGGTTATTCAAGCAATGCTGAGCACAAAGTGAACCTTCTTGCTAATATTTCCAAAAGAAAAAATTCAAATGGGATTTGTAAAACAGATTTGTACAGTATCTTCCCCGAAACAGAAATTTAATCATTAACTTAACACAGCCAAACCGAACATTTTTAGCTTTAGACAAGCATGATTAACACAGGTACATGCATTTTCACTTGTTAACACTTATTTTATAATTCTACCATTAATGAAACTACAATTATTTAGCTATATGATAAAAAATTTAAGAATGATTTATACTAAACAAACATCATCTGTCAAATACACCAAATCCCATTTTTATTAAAAACTACTCTATTATAATAAACATTTAGCCTCCTTTGTTTTCAGTGGCTAAAATAAGTACATTTTTGGAGATTCCATGGTAAATTACTAATGCTAAAAAGGAATTTTAATCCCTAGAACATTTTTTCTTTTAACAAGATAATCTCTAATCCATCTAAAGGTTCGTTCATGGAATTTCAAATCCATGAACAGATGAAGAATCTCAAGAATTGATATAGTAAGAAAAATTCTGTTCCATGTTCATGAAGACTTATAGCTACAGAGCCAAGGTTCTCTTCAAGAACTCTGCAGATAATGTACACAGTTTTGGTGCATGAGCAAAACTGTCCAAAAACCACCCCTGGAGTTCACTTCTGGACAAACCAGCAAGGGGGCTGCATCCAAGCTCAGTTCTCCAATTGGCAACTGGGATCACTGGCTTCCTGTTATGGGGGTGGGGAGAAAACAACTTCCCACAGGCCCTTCGCGGGCTGGGCAGCTGGCTTTCTCACATAACTGGCACCCCAAACCTAAATCCAGGCTTCCTCCAACTAAGCAGGCTGTGTATCACCCCTCTCCCCTCAACAGTGCTGCTTTCCTGTTTCCCTATAAGAAGGGAGACTAATGGGTGGATGAGGTCCCTCCCAGTGAACCCAGCCCTGGGTTGGTCGCTCTGTAGTATGATGGCAGATGGGAGAACACCTTCTCCTGCTAACTCTGGCCCTCTAAGTTCTCCATTTCCCCAGTAAAGTCTGTTCATTAACCCAACCTGTCTGACATCCTGCAGTTTGTTTCGAGCTATGTCACACAATAGGTCAGACCCCAAAGACCAACACCTTGCAAGATACATCTTTTTCCTGAGTTAATTTTCTAGGAACAAAATTCCGCTGCTGAAGAAGATACAGGATATATGTATATAATGGAATAGGAATGCAGCTCTGAGACAGTCTGAGTGTGAGAAAGGGGGCTGAGACAAGTTTATCTTCATATTTTGGTACAGAATAAGTAACTTGAAGTAAAGAAGACACTATCCATCCCTCAAGTCATAACTACGACGGTGAGAGAGTACTTGTCTCCACTTCTTTTTTCTTCTACTGTATTCCTCCTGCCAGAAAGCCAGTCTCACTGAACAATATAATGTGAATTGGAGGGATACACAGATGTCTACTTATATTCTATTGAAAAGTGGGCAAGACAAACAAGAACTCACAAGAGGATAGCCAAATGGATAAAAAACACAGAGGGGGGCTCAACTTCATTACCATCAGAGAAACCTATATTAAAACTACCAATGTGTTACTACTACACACTCCAGAATGGCTAAAATGTTGGAGACGATTAGAGACATCAGAACTATTATATACTACTGACGGAAGTGTAAATTAGTTTAACCACTTTGGAAAACTATCTGGAATATCTACTACAGCTTAACATCTACCTACCCTATGATCTAGCAATCCCACCACTAGGTACATAACGTAAGCAACAGAAATGTAAACCTGTGTTCATCAAAAGACATGTATAAGAACGTTCATAGAAGCACTATTTGTATTGGCCCCCAAACTGGAAATTACCCAAATGCTCATCACAGTAGAATGGCTAAATTGTGTCACATTCACAAAGGACTACTATGTAACAATGAGAGTGAGTTAACTACAACTACCTGCAACAATATGGATGACTCAATCAATGTTAAACAAAAGAAGACAGACTCAAAAGAGTACACTCTATATGATTCCATTTACAAAACTTCAAAAACAGACAAAACTCATTAATCGATGACGTTAGAAATCAGGGTAGTGGTTACCCTTGCAGGGGTGGAGGGAGAGTTAGTATCCTGGAAGATGAACGATGTTAAGGGGGCTAATAAGATGCAGGTAAATGTTCTGTTACTTGATCTAAGTATTATTTACACACTTGTGTCCACTTCATGAGAATTCACTGAGCTATACTCTTATGATCTGTGTGCGCCTACACGTGTTATCCTTAATAAAAATTTCAAACAACGATACAAAAGTCTCCACTAAGATACAGCTACTTCACATTAAGAGCTAATCCAGTGACCAGACACTGGATTTTCTCGGAATTTTCTGTTTGCTGTCAGGCTACATGCTTCAGTTTGGGGCTCTCAGACTATGGTCACCATATGTAATAACATATATAGAAACAGTGAATCCAAATATTTGATTTTAAAATTCTCTCTATAAAAAATTAGCTTTAAAATACAAAAAATAAGCACTTGAAATTAAACCTAATTGAAGTAATACTGTATTGCTTTAGGAAATTATATCAAGTTCTGTACTTCTAACATGATTTAATAGAAGGAAAGAACAAATTGTACAGTCAAATTCAAATAAAATTATTTTTTGAAGTCACAAGATGAGTCAAATTCTACATGGACCAAAAAAATTGTAAAATGGTCCCATCTAAGATTATGCATTTCCCTGCCTGCCCATCCCATCCCCCTAAACTATCCCCAACCACTTCATTCATTTATTCATTCGGCTATTCCGGGTCTTAGTTGCGGCACTCAGGATCTTTGCTGCAGCTTGTGGGCTCTTTAGTTGCGGCATGCAGAATCTTTTTAGTTGTGGCATGTGGAATCTTTAGTTGAGACATATGGGATCTTTTGGTTGTGGCATGCAGGCTCTTAGTTGCGGGATCTAGTTCCCTGACCAGGGATCAAACCTTGGCCCCCTGCATTGGGAGCATGGAGTCTTAACCACTGGCCCACGAGGGAAGTCCCCCCAGCCATTTCTTTTTTTTTTTTTTAATTTAGTAATTTATTTATTTATTTTTGGCTGCATTGGGTCTTTGTTACTGTGTGCGGGCTTTCTCTAGTTGCAGCGAGCGGGGGCTACTCTTCGTTGCAGTGCGCCGGCTTCTCATTGTGGTGGCTTGCCTTTGTTGTGGAGCATGGGTTCTAGGTGCACGGGCTTCAGTAGTTGTGGCGTGTGGGCTCCGCAGTTGTGGCTTGTGGACTTCTAGAGGGCAGGCTCAGTAGTTGTGGCTCATGGGCTTAGTTGCTCCGCGGCATGTGGGATCTTCCAGGACCAGGGCTCGAACCAGCGTCCCTTGTATTGGCAGGTGGATTCTTAACCACCGTGCAACCAGGGAAGTCCCCCAACCACTTCTTTCTCATCAAACTTTAACTAAAGTTGGACAGAAGTTCACTTCGCTATAGTCAAAGTTCAGTGGTATTGAAATTTCATGATTACAAGCCCAGACTTTATTGTGCTGGGATCCAAGGATGAACAAAATGCATCTTCAGTTTTACCAAGATATCTTACAAAACCACCAAGGGTAACTTCAACCAAATCATTCCCTCATTGTCCCCAAAGTCTTCAGGACCTCCCTGAAACTAGTTCAAATTCCCAGAGACACTACTGCCTCCAACTGAAACTAGGCATAAACCCAAAAGTGTGCTCAGAAATGGCCTAACTGGGGCCACACAATCAACCTAGCAGCACTTGTTCATCTCATCTTAGTAAGAATAAGGTCCCACCCCTTATCATGAAGTTCGGCAAGCACAAGCATCTGAATAACAACGATGGCCAGCACGTGTCCAGCACTATGTGCCAAGTAGCATTCTAAGCACTCATAACTCTGAGATAGACACTTCAAAACCCTCAAATACAGCGGAGGAAACTGGAGAACAGAGATAATAAGTAACTTGCCCAGGATCATACAGGTAGTAAAGGGCAGAGCTGAGATTCAAACCCGGGCAGAGGTTTCAAGTCTGTACTATTACCACTTCCTTAAGCCACTTATTTGGAACTTGGTGATTCTTAAACTTCAAATATCCTGAAGATGGTTAAGAACCAGCAATCACAAAAACAACATAACGAATGTCATAAAGTCAATTCTCAGCATCTTTCCAGTATTTTCACTAATTTTAAATATAATCCCAACACGTTTGGTTACCATTCACAGCTGTAGACACATGAAAGCACCAATTCAGATGGCACAGTAACCTTACCAAGAGCAGTCAGCAACAGAAGCAATAACAAAAACGACAGAAATCAGGCACCAGAACTAAAAGAAAAACAAAAACCCAAACAACAAAAAGCTACAGCAGTTGGTGGCCATATAGCACTAGGGTTTAAGTTAGGGATTGGCAAACTCTAGCCCTTGGGCCAAATTCAATCTGCCCCAGGAGCTAAGAATGCTTTTTACATTTTTAGATGGTTGGGAAACACACACACACACACAAGAATATGTGAGAACATAAAAGACCTGCAAAGTCTAAAATATTTACAGAAGGACTTCCCTGGTGGCGCAGTGGTTAAGAATCTGCCTGCCAACGCATGGGACATGGGTTCATGCCCCGGTCCGGGAAGATCCCACATGCCGCGGAGCAACAAAGCCCGTGTGCCACAACTACTGAGCCTGTGCGCCACAACTACGGAGCCTTTGAGCCACAACTACCAAGCCCGCACACCGCAACTACTGAAGCTTGTGAGCCTAGAGCCCATGCTCCGCAACAAGAGAAGCTACTGCAATGAGAAGCCGACACACCACAATGAAGAGTGGCCCCCACTCACTGCAACTAGAGAAAGCCCGCACAGCAATGAAGACCCAACGTAGCCAAAAAAAAAAAAAAATCCTATTTTAAAAAATAAAATATTTACAGAAAAACTTGTTTACTTTAGATAAATAGCACCATATACATCTTAGATGCTCAAGGAACACTCTTGATTATTGAGCACCTGCTATGTGCCAGGCACTGGGGATATATCAATAAACAACTGTTGAGTTTACATTTTAATTTAACAAAGGGCACTCCAAGTGACAACTCTGAAAATGGAGAAACCAAAATTCCAAGAAGTGGTTGCAAAGTCCTTTGTAGTCAGACAACCCTACATGCACAGCTTCCCTAGGGCCAAAGTTGGTTCTCTGGCTCTCCAAACCCAGGACCTAGAGTTAAATGTATGTGGAGGAGGGGAAGGGAGTGCTCTGGAAAATGTCATATTGAGCTCAAACATTCCCAGAATGGACTGTGTATGAGATGGACAATGGGCCCTATGGTTACAGGTGCTTTCCATACTACTGAAATATGCCTGAAGAACTTTAAGTCTTAATTTGCTAAGTACTTAGAAGTTGATAAGGGTAAATGTGTTCTTGAAATAGGTTTAAGTCTACATTCATGCTGATAATTCAGAGTGACTGCTTTCGGGTAAGTAGATTTTCATTAGGCTAGCGTCCAGCTTCTTTTGATCCCATGGTTAAGCAGCTACCTTCACTGTACTCTATCCAAACTAGGTACCAATCATTATTGTTAAAAAAAAATATATTGTATAATGCTCAAGAAGTGATGTGGACAAATTTAAAATCTTCAATGTTGAACCATCTGGTCCTACAGCAAAGCTTCTGAAAATCAGTCATAAAAATATGCCCACTCGAGGTTCTCTTCATCCAATCTCCTTAGCCAAGCAGCTAAATTTCTCTTTTCCAGGATTCATATAACATGTCAGTCAAGTCAAAAGTTTAGTGATAACCATACCACTGAGTCCTTCCTCACCCACACATAAAAACTGGTCTATTCTAGTACCAAACTTTCTGAAATGTTTTCTATAAAGAAAAGCATTCCATAACAATTTGGTTAGATTTATACTGCACTTCCTTTGTCTTTGATTGCTTTACCTGATTGCTGTGTGTGTATTTTTAAATGGACAAGTATTTAACAAAACAAAACCCCTTCGCTCCTACTAAATAACAGCCTCACCAGCAACCCTTTCTAAATACGAAACTATTATGAAACAAGATATGTGACAAAGTTGTCCTGAGGAAGGTTTCACTCACACCCAAATTGTTTGATAACTGCGAGAAAAGATGAGTTTCTCCACATGCCACAAACATTATCTTCAAGCGCATGGTTATGGAAGAATCAAAGCAAAACAGGCTAGGCAGACAAAAACAAAATTATTCCTGTCCACTCTTAATACCTAATAAGAAAGCTGGCCTCCTAATCCGGAAAGATGCCACTACCAAAAGAAACGAACCCCAAACATCTCAGAACAAAAACTCTTGTGACGACTTCCCAGTTCAGGGGCGTACGGGGTTTCCTACTTCACTTCCCTAAGGGTCACGCCCTCCGTGGGACGAGCCAAGGTCCCTACCCCCGGGATGCTCACGGACCCAGTGCAGAAGGATCTGAGTGTGTGAGAAATTTCAATTTAGAATTGAGGAGCCCAGAGAAGGAAAAGTTAATTCTTCCAACGGGTAGGACTGGGAGAGCGGGGTGGAGTTGGGAAGGGTAGAAGAACGTGTCCAAGAGGTGACTAGCCAGAACCTAGGGAGAGTGGGGGAGAGGAACTGGAGGACTCCCACGGAAAGTGGAGAGAAAGCGCGGAAGCCACCTCCTCTCTCGTGCCGCCGGCCCTGCCCTTATTCCCTGCGGGCTTCCCAGACATCCCAGGCCCGGGTCTCCTCCGGCTCCTCGGGTGCAATGGGGGCATCGGTGAAACTCCCCTCCAGGTGAAGCTCCTCCCGCCCGGCGAGATCGGGATGGGGGCATCTCGGGCCCCACCCAGCTCCCCGGGAGGCAGCGATGCCGCGCCCCACGCCCGCCACCGCGCCGCAGACAGCTCCCCACCGATCGCGGACACTCACTTTTTCATGGAAGATGGACTCCATGTTGATTTGTCTGGAGCCAACGGCCCCCGCGCCGAACCAACCCCCTCCAGCTCCGCCCCCAGCCCCACCCCTCCGCCCACCATGCCCCGCCCCGCCTCGTGCCTCCCCCGCCCACGTGTCTCGTGTAGACCAATCACCCCCGAGAATGCGAGTCACGTGGAGCGAAGAGGCGTGAACGCCTGGGCGGTAAAACTCCGGGGCACGTGACCTTTGTAGCGCGTCCTCCCATCTCCTGTTGTTCCCCCGGCTGGAGGATGATGCAACGCCCCCTGCCGTGTGGAGGATCATCTCCGCTTCCCACTCTTTGCGGTGGATTCTTAGGCTGCGGGGGGATTGGGTAAGGACCACCCGAATTCTATGTTCTTTTTGTTTTCTATTTTACCTTGTACTTTCTTTTTATCACATTTGCATACAATTATTTAATATCTTTCTCCTCGTCCTGCACAGAAATTCTCATTACATCCCCGAATACTGAGCACTTGTGTAAAAACAAGAGTTAACATTTACGTAGGGCTTACTGTCGGTGGGCACTCTTGTAAGTGCTTTGCATATATTAACGAATTTAATACAGCAAACTTTGATGTAGGCGTTATTATCCTTATTTTATACATGAGGAAGCTGAGGCATGAAGAGATTCAGAACAGCACAACTAGATAGGTAGACAGATAGATAGTTTGGCTGTAGAACAGAGAACTGTTGGCATAAAAAAGGGAACTGAAACCACAGGAGTGAATATAATCATCTTGGGGAAAAGGAAGAGACTGAGAAGAGGGTCTCACAGAGCCCTGAGGGTAGAGAAGGCATAGCCTAGGAGAAGGGAGGAAAAGCAGGAAGGTGTAACGTATGGAAGCCCCAGGAAGGAAATGTTTCAAGGAGCAGTCAGTGTCAGTTGCTGCCTAGAGGTCCAGCAACATAAGGACTTACAAGAGCCAACTAAACTGTGTTGCTATGGAGACCACTGGTGACCTTGGTGAGTGCAGGTCCAGAGGGACTGAAGGGGCAGTGGGAGGGAAGGAAAGGAGACTGCCAGCGAGGACCAGGTTCTCAAGGGGAGGATTCAGTAACCATTTATCCAATGTCTCTGCATGTACAGTCCTGTATTGGAAATACAGTCCTGTATTGGAAATAGTCAGTGTTCTTAAGAAATTGTGGCCTAATTGGGGAAAGAAATCACGGTCTCATGAAGGGAAAAAATATGCAAACCAGTTTTTCTGATTTTTTTTTTTTTAAAAGAAAATGTGTCTGTGTAGAGAAACATGTATTTCTTTTCTCATGCATATGCATTACAAATCTCTGGAAGAATATACAGAAAACCCAGAGGTTACATGTTGGAGTGATAAGGGAACTAAGGCAAATGGGGGAGAGAGTGGGAGGGAGACTTTTCACTGTATGTAATTTTAGTTTTTTATTTATTTTATTTTTTGGCTGCTTTGGGTCTTCGTTGCTGTGCGCAGGCTTTCTCTCGTTGCGGTGAGCGGGGGCTACTCTTTGTTGCTGTGTGCGGGCTTCTCATTGTGGTGGCCTCAAACCCGTGTCCCCTGCGTTGGCATGTGGATTCTTAACCACTGTGCCACCAGGGAAGTCCCTAGTCTTTTTTTTTTGAGCTAATTAATGTATTACTAATTCAGAAAAAAATATGTGATTTTATTCATTTCCTGAGGCTGCTGTAGCAAATTACCACAAACTTGGTGACTTAAAACAACAAAATTTATTTTCTTATTCTTCTTGCAGCCAGAAGTCTGAAACCAGGGTGTCAGCAGGGCCATGCTCTTTCCAAAGCCTCTAGTGGAGCCTCTTGCTTCTTTCAGCTTCTGGTGGCTCCTGGTGTTCTTAGCTTGTGGCACCATAACTCCAATTTCTGCCTCTATCTTTACACGGCCTTCCTCCTTCTGTGTCTGTTTGTGTCTTCTCCCCTTATAAAACACCAGTCATTGGATTTAGGTTCCATCCTAATCCAGAGTAATTTCATGTTGAGATACTTAACTAAATACATAAGCGAAGACTGTTTCCAAATAAGGTCTTTGGTTCTGGGTGGACTTGAATTTTGGAGGGTAATGATCCAACTCTCTGCAGTGACTAATTGCTTATTAGGATGTAAATGACCCCAAAGGACCTTATAGTTTTGTTCATTTAGCATGTAGAACAGTGCTTGGCAATATTTAATAATGTTGAATTACTACTAATCGTTTCATTAGGCCTTCCGACCTATTGAGTATGTGATTAATAGCAAGCATCATAAAATGAAAAGATCAGTGCCTGGAAGTCAGAATGCAAATTCTGGGTGTGGCTTTGCCCCTGAAGCCATGTGTGAGTTGGGTATTAGATTTGTTGCATTTCCTATTCTGATAACTCCACTTGATATTCGGCGCATCTCAGTGGTTGAGAGTCCGCCTACCGATGCGGGGGACGTGGGTTCTTGCCCCGGTCCGGGAGGATCCCACATGCCGCGGAGCAGCTGGGCCCGTGAGCCATGGCCGCTGGGTCTGCGCGTCCTGAGCCTGTGCTCCGCAGCGGGAGAGGCCGCAGCGGTGAGAGGACCGCGTACCGCAAAAAAACAAAACACAACAACTCAATGACCACACTCTCCAGGAAGCATCCCCGGCTCTTCAACTAACTTAGAAGTTCCTGTCCCTCCTCTGAGCTCCTGTATGTGCCTGTATCCTACTTGGTACCTTTTACACAGTATCATAACAGTTGGTTTGACCATACATCTTTGCCAATACCCTATAAATGTCTTGATGGCAGGGCCCATGTCTTATTTGACTTTGTATATCTTGTAGTCAGTGACTTTCAAATGAATCAGTGAAGCTAGCATCTGAGAATCATTCTTGATTCTTTCCCCCCATTCTTCCACTTTACATTTTGTTCCAATCAGTCCTCAAATGTGCATGTTCATGGCTCTTTCCTCTCTGTTTGCTTTGCTACTGCTTAGCCTTCTTGGTCTCTTGTGTATTCCAGGTCCAGGATCTCTGAATTGGTCTTCTGGTTCCAGCTTCAGTATGTTTAATTCATAGTGCTGTCAGTGATCTTTCAAAAATGCAAACCTCACCAGTTTGTCTTTGTCTTAACAAATGGGATGTTACTATGTATCAGGCACTGGGACTATAACCATGAGAGAGACAAACAGTCTAACTTTCACAGAGCTTATATTTGGGGGGATCCTTAAATAATTACACAATATTACTCTATTTGAAATCTTTCAGTGGCTTCCTATTGCTGGATTAAAAGGTTCTTTGTGCTCTGGACCTGTCTGGCTTTATCTCCTGGAATTCCCTCTGCTCCAGTCACACCAGCTTCCCTTGACTTCCGGAAAGTCCTCTGAAGAAAAGTTGTTTGTGCCACCACTATACCTTGCACCTGCCTACATTAAAACCCTCATTACAACACACCGGACTTACTACTTTATATGCCAGGGGACTATCAGCTTTTGAGGGTCAAAGGAGTCTTACTCTTTATAACAAGGGTTGGTGCATAGAAGTGAATAAATGCACAAATTTTGGGGGCACAGACAAGTATTACAGTAGTTCAGTAGGAGACAGTGATTACTGAGCCAATCAAGAAGGAGTTCCTGGAGACAGGACATGAAACAGATGCACTTCCAGGAGACTTCTATTTCACCTTGGACAGTTCAACTTATCTCTAAATCTACCTCATTGAAATTTTATGTTAACAAGCAAGATGGCACAAAGTTATATCTATCTTCTTGAACATTGCCTCTTTTAAACTGGCCTAAATTTTGTTACCCCAAACCAAATAGTTTAACAGAATTTCAAACAATTGAGATTTTAAAATTTATGTGTGTCATCTTAAATGTTCTGAGTTCTGAAAAGAATCAGTGATAAGGGAGTATCATTTCATTGTAATTTCACTTCTCCTAAATTCAAGCTTACCTGAAACAAAATTTGCTTTCCAAGAAGAGGTAGTTGAATATAACAGATGACATATGTATATACCCAAGAAACCATCACCATAATCAAGAAAATGATTCCTCCAACCCCTTCCTGGACCACTCCCTGGCAACCACTGATCTGCTTTGTTACTATAGTTTGCAGTTTCTAACATTTTATATGAGTGGAATCACACAGTGTGTGCTTTTTGTCTGGCTTCTTTCATTCAGGATAATTAATTTAGAATTCATCTATGTTGTATCAATAGATCATTTCTTTTTATTGCTGAGTAGTAATATTCCATTATATGGATTTAATACAATTTATCTATCTGTGTTGATGGACATTTGGGTTGTCTCTAATTTTTGGCTATTACAAGTAGAGCTGCTATGAACATTCATGTAGATGTCTTTGTGTGGACATACGCTTTCTTTTGGCATATATGCATTTCCTTGGGGTAAATACCTCAGAATGGAGTGGCTGGGTCGTATGGTATGTGCATGTTTAACTTGAAACTGCTAAACTGATTTCCAAAGTGGTGCAACTTCTGGCAGCTACATTTTCCATTCCTGCCAGCACGGTGTGAGTTCCAGTTGCTCCACACCCTTGCCAACACTTGGTAAGATCAGTCTCCTTAACCTTAACCATTCTGATAGGTGTATAGTGGTTTCTCATTGTGGTTTTAATTTGCATTTCTCTAGTGACTACTGATTTGAGCATCTTTTCATGTGCTTGTATGCCACTCTCACATGCCTTTTTTGGTGAAATATCTATTAAAATCTTTTGCTTTTTAAAAATCGGGTTGTCTTATTAATAAGTTATGAGTTTACATATTCTAAGTTCTTTGTTGTGTGTATGTTTTGCAAATATTTTCTCCTAGTCTATGGCTGCATTTTCATTCCCTTAACAGTGTTTTTTGAAGGAGTTTTTAATTTTGATAAAGTACAATGTCTTGGTTTTTAAAACTGGTTCATGCTTTATGTATTGTATTTAAGAAATCTTTGCTAAATTCAAGGTCACTAAAATTTTCAGCTATTGATTTCTGCCAAATAAAATCCTAGTATCATCCTTTTAGAGTGCCTTTGAAGAACATGTTTGAAAAAATTTTTCTGAAAAATTGAGCCATATGATTCAGTGATTATTTTTTAATTACTGTCTGTTACTTGAAATGGGAAAGATTATTTCAGCACAAAAAGAATCACACTTCAAAGTCTTCAAATTAAGTAATGAATGTGTTTTTATTTCTCTTATAATTTAAAAACTGTGAACATTCTGTAATTCAGCAGCAGCCTTTACTTCCAGGTGACCTCTTCACTGGGTCTTAATTCCCTGCATGGAAAGAAAAAAAAAAGGAAGAAAAAGCAAAAGTGTAAATAAAACTTTTATGAGAGGATAAAAGGGAAAGTCAGAAGAATATAGATTCAGTATTTTATATTGTATTAAATTGACCCACTTAAAAGTTTTTATTATATTCAACATATTCATTCTATTCTCTCATGATTTTAAACTTTTACCATCTCTTCATTTTTCCAGATTAAAAACTGTAATTTCTTAGTCTATCTTTATATGAAAGCAATTATCCTCTCAGTGAGTTCACTGAATACTTTTTATATTCTTTCTAGCTCATTTTATCTTTCTTGAAATCCCTGGCTGGAACCTCCTCTACATAATGCCTTTGGCTGCTGCTTGGTTCTCTTGTCCCTTGAGCTTCCTCCTGCCCGGCTGCACAGTCAGTGGCAGACACCCTGTCTTGCTAACTCTAATTCTGGTGCCATCTCCAGAGACACAGTGGGACCAGGCAGCTGCCAGTTGCTATATGATCACCCAACCACCATGTCTAAAGCTCTCAACCAGTGTTGCTGAGAACACAGCACCAAGCCACAATTAGTGCCATTGTTTTCAGCTACATCATGGCCTAAGTAAGACAGTGTATGATCATATATGTTAAAGCACATAGAGGAGGGTTTGGCAAGCTGGTTTAAGACTGCTTCTGTGTTAAAATGTACCCTGACTTAAAAAAAAAAAAACTTTCAAAGATGTGAAATAGCTTGTTCAGAAACTAAAGACTTGTTTACATTCCAAAAGTAATCATAGAGTTTTGTCTAAGGATTAAGCAACAAACAAGACTACAAAATAATATCACTTAATCTAAATCCTCAGGGAGGGAAAATTACCCCTTCTGTTCATTTTGGCACAAATGACATTAAGAAGAATACTGCTAAAACCTGACTGTTGGTTTAATAAAAAAATACAAAAACTAACCTTTTATATAACAGACTCTTGTTCCGGAAGGCAATTAGCTTTTCATCATTCTTTCTGTCTAGGTAACATCCAACGACAAATCCCACAGGGACAAGTATGTGTACCCAGTGGTCACGCACAATCTGAAGTAAGTTCATCATGAATGCTATAAAAAAAAAAATTACCAGAAATATAACTGCCTTTGAAGTATCTTTTAAATCACATCTGAAACAGGAAGATAAGGATATAGATGTTAAAAGCATAATAAGCCTCTTTGTATTTGTTTGGCATCAGAATGTAGTATACTACTTAAAATCTACTTGATGAAGATTATATAGGTACAATGATTAGTATAAAAATTATACTGCCTTTTATTTCTAGCTCCACCAGTGATCTGATATAACACAGGAATGGAGAGAGTATTAAAAGAATTCTACCTGCAAAAGCTGAGTATTTGCACCCTCCTAGTATTGATTTAGAACCTTTACATTTGTAAAATATTTTTAGAACCTCTCACAATGTTAAACCAAATATAATAGTATTTTGTCAGAAGCAGAATTCTTTCAAGCTGTAATTATTGAAAACTATTTTCTTAAAACTAATTTTGGAAAGGAAATGAAAACATATGAGAAATTAAGAAAAATCATATTGAATAATGTCACAACAGATCTGAATATCAATTAAATGACTCTACAAAACATATGGGGACAGAGGAACTTACTTTTGTAGAATGACTACTAGGTATCAGAGCCATCATATAGTCCAATATATAACACGAAATATTGTTATCCTTATTTTACAGGTAAGAATACAGTTTAACCCAAATAGGTATTACGTGTAGATCTGGAATTCAAACTCAGGTTCATTCCAAAGCTCTAGCTCCTTCTATCATATCCCAATACCTCTTGTAGAGAACCTTCCCCTAATTGATATTTATGGTACTTAAGACTTTTTAAGTGTTAAGAAGAGTTTCTAAAAGGCAGAAGAGGAGGACTTCTTCACAGAAGATCTAGAAGTCGTCAAAATGAATTTGCAGTAATTCAGTAAAAACACAGTTGAATCATCAATTTTCTGTAAAAATTTGTATCTAAAGATGATATCAAAATACATATGTATGCACATGAATCTATAATAAATAAATCCTATACTATGGCTGAGAAGACAGGACAACATCATAGAAAGATACATTACTGCTAACAAAAGGGCTTAGCACTGAACTCTGCTAGGATTATGTAGCCTGGATTCCTGCT